CATACCGCAATTGCTGTTTCCGTTCGTTCCGTGTCCTTGTGCGGAACATCTGCTCACTCCATTATTAGTTCCATTATTTACGGCATTGCAATTTTTGTTGTGGGTCTTTAGATGCGCAGCAAAGTTATCCGACCTACCAAACTTTTTACCACAGCCGGGATGTTCGCATTTGTATTTACGTTCTCCAGTGTGGGTGAGGTTATGTCGTTTCAGATGTTCCAGTCGTTTAAAGCTCCACGTGCAACCGGGCCACTCGCATTTATGTTTATTGCGCGAGGGTGATGAAGGGGAATTCGCAGATGAACTTGAAGATGAACTCGAGATTGCCGGCGGTAAGTATAAGTTCGAGTTTGAGATAAGCGATCGCGGGTCGGAGCTTGTTGGACTTAGGTGAGATTCGGGGAAAAGCGAATGGGACAGCGTGGAAGGGGAGCTTAGTAATTTTGAGGCGACGCGTGAGGGAGAATTCATGGTGAGCCGGGAAGAAGGGGAGTGCACAGGAGTTTGAGGAGTTTGTGAGAGTGGTGAAAGGGAGGTTTGAGAAAGCGGCGAAAGTGATGCCTGTGATAGCGATGATGGAGAAGTCGAGGGAGAGGAGCAATTAGCATGCACGAGAGACATGGACGGTACAATGTACATATTTTGACTTCCATGCGCGTGTTGAGAGTGTGAGTGAGTTTGAGAGGCCACACCGGTGCCGGTAGACATTTGATGGGGGACTATAAACATATTATTCGGATGAGCGTGATGATGGGCATGCATCACAGTAGTTGAAGCCGCACCGGTGGCATTGCTCATTGACATCGAAGATGAGGATGAGATCTGATGATAATTGTGAGATCGGTGTTGAGATTGGTGTTGAGATTGTGATTGTGGAGTTTGTAATGAGAATATGGGCATTACCCAGTTGTTGATAATAGGCGGTTGTTGTGAAGTTGAATCTGTAACAGGGCTATCACGTTGTAACGAATGGGGGTTATAGACAGTTTGAGTGGTGTGTGGATTATGCGAGTGGCATAAAGAAGACGTGTTCGAACTTGAAGAGGGATGAATTGCGTGAGGATAGAAATGATGATATTCTCGCGAAGTGAGGTCGCGACTATTGGCGGGAGGAGTGGTGCCGAAGTGAAACCCTCGAGGGTCGAAGTGATTAAGCATTGGATGTGTAACAGAAGGCGGAAATGATTGAGGCGGCGGAGAGATGCTTTGCGCCCTGGAAGCTTTTCGAGAATCGGAAAAAAGAGATGAGTAAAAAAAAAAAAAAAATGTAGTTTGCAATTTCGGCCTGAAATTCGGGGTTACACTAAATAGAAAGATTACGTATTTGTTTACATACCCATTGTTGTTTCTAAAAGAGTGATTGTTGAATAGATCAGACAAACACACAACAGAGTACACAAGATCTTCGTTTGGTAGTCCACAATTTATTGGAAGATCATGAGATTGCCTAATGCGGGAATACACGTGAAAATTTGATTTAGGAATTAATGCAGGGGAAGGTTGCGGAGAAAAAAAAAATTGACTGGTGGGTGAGGGGGAGGGGGCACAGCAAAAAAGAAACAGCTTATAGTGAACCAAACTAACAAGTGAAATAATTGACATAGATCGATGGTCGATGAAACAGATGGATAGCCAATCAGATTCAACTACAAGGTGAATATTGATGAAATTGTTGATCGAATTTAGTCAATCGGGCGATAATGGAACTAATAATGGAGTGAGCAGATGTTCCGCACAAGGACACGGAACGAACGGAAACAGCAATTGCGGTATG